ATTAATTAAATATTCTACTATTGTATTGCTCACAAAAATAATTCTATTATAGTTATATATATTCTATAGCATAACTATTAAAAAATCAGTTGTTAGGATATGTGAGTATTTTATTACTATTTTATAAATGTTCTTCTTACAAATGGATCACAGGAGAGTCATAGTCTCACTGGGCTCTAAATAACTTGAATTCTTTAAGAAAAGGTTTCTTAACACTCCTGCTTTAGGAAAATAAAAAGGACTAAGACAACAAATGAATACATCCGTTATAGAGAAAATATTTTGATATCATGTCAGGAACACTTGAATATTCTTCCTAGAACAGATCATGTTAATCCAACCATTGATGAAATAAAGATTTCCATTTCTACACAACCTCAGTTTTGTGCAAGCGGAGTTGTAGTGAGCCAAGAAGAGGATTCACTAGGTAAAGAACTTAAAAAAAAAAAAAAGCTACCTCCTCCTGTTTTCACACTGACAGGAGAGTATGTCACAGAAAATAGTTTATGTATTTTACGATTTCCTAAATAATCACTTGACATGAAAAAAATTTGATGAAAGAATCACTAAGCAAAATAACAAAATACACCTTCATCCAAAAAAAGGTATTTGTAGGGCCCGTGCTCACTGAAAGCAAACACTGGGAGCTTTTACCAGCATATTGGCCAACCAAGATTAGATTAGCAGAAAATTAACTATGAAGCTCATGGGCACCGAGTTCAGGCAAGCGCTAGTTCAGTTAACATTGCTGTTCACTGCAGAAGAATGAACAAAGAAAAGTTCTACATGAAAGACAAAACAGCCAAAGTCTGGAAGTTTACACTTTTCACAGTATGTGACTTTGATTTTGTGATGGACTTTTTAAAAAGCATCCACCTACAGTATTATCAGCATAAGGCAGAGCTTGCTGGCAGCTAAAAAGGTTCATTTTGGCTTTTGGAAAATGTACACACTACTGAAGAACAGATGCACTCTGACTTTTATTTTCCTAAAGAAAATATAAGGTACAAACCAAGATAGTTTGCATCTACTAATGCATTGATTTCACTACATTCTATTGAAATTTTAAAGCAGAGGAGATACGAAAATATCGTACTACCGTATTACCCAGTTTAAAAGCATCCAATTAATAAGTTTTCTTTGTTACAGATGCTGGATGAAAACTCTTTAAAAACTATTACCTAGGATGAGAATGTTAAAATTCTTGAGGTGGGGTGAAGAGGGTTCCTGCTCTATCATTATTGCTGCAGTTAGAAAAAAAAATATTCACCCCTGAATGAATTCTTGGATTTAGTTAGCGGTTCA